TCCACAGAGACAGACGTCAAAGAAACAGCTCGTCGTCAACTGTTAAGTTCCATATTTACCTTATTATGACATCGAAAATTTTGGAGAAAACGCTTTGAGCTGAGTGGGTCTCAATCTTTATTTTCGACACCATTTTGATCGTGTGAAGAACATACTGCTCCAGAAAAGGCAATTAATGCGTGCCATATTAACAACCGTAGAGCCCTGGGCATACCCAGGGCTCGGCACAGATGGTCTGGGGTCAAACTGGACTTCGCTTTTGAGGTTAGAAGCAATGGGGATATCGTTTTTATAAGGTCCTAGGCGGAGCGCCGAAAGAAATAACAAAAGTGTCAGGTTTTACGAGTTGAACGTGTTCTTTCGCAAGCGCGCGATTTTTAAACGTGAAACTCCACCAAACAAATGGCTTGTTTTCAGCGCATAAACAACCACATAACACCGAAGTTGGGCTATATGTTTACAATATTACTCCAAACTATACTATGTAAAAAGTTTCAAAAACTTGTGTGTCCCAATACCTGTTCTCGAATTTGTTGGTTTCTAGACCATCACCAAACCAACTGTATTGGTTCGAAGCATAAATATCGGAGAGTTCACATAAGTTTTGGACCTTTTTGAATTGGACGATTAGAACGCTCAAAAATTTATTATATAGCGAAGAGAGCGAATCAAACCATTACCTCTCCTCTTTTTTTGGGTCAAAAATGGTGTGAACCTGTGCATTGATAGATATCGCGCTCCATTCACATGAGGTGTCTTTGAACTATATGGCGAAAAATGCATCGCCGGATCGTTGGGGCCACAGATTTGGTCGGCCTAGGAGGTTTTCAACATTCTGAACTTTAAAATGGTACCATACTCAATGACGGAGCCTTTCAACCCAAAATGTTTTTTTTTGCTTTTTTCTCAAATTAGATACTCAAAATTCGCTTTTTTCGGTTTTTTAACGTTATGTTGATTGAACAGAGGTTTCTCTACTGACTTTTACGTCAAAAGGGACTTCGTAAACTTTCGCGAAGTCATGGAGGACTTCGTTCCCATAAGTGCTCGCAACCAACGCGTGCCGGGTCCTGGGCATACCTCACTCGATTCTGGCCGCGATGCCACTTGGCAATACTTCAACTAACAATTCATCGTAAGCGCATTGTGATTGAGCGGAAAGTGGGACATTCTATCGATTTGCGAAAGTTGTACATAATGCGAATTTGTTGTCTGCAGGTTTGGATCTAAGGAGATATGGGAGATTGCTAGATCGTGGCGATGAAGCTGCGTGGGGTATGCCCGAGGCCTAAGACGACATACAATATGCTTATTTGCAGCTATCGTTCATCTTCACATACACTCTTTTCCGATAAAAAAAAGAAAGCAAGAACCTGAAATTGCAGGATTTGGTGCACACCCAATTCAAACGCTTACTAATATATCTCCTCTTAGATATTGGACTATGGCCCGTAGTAAAGCTCGATCAGTTGAGGTGAACTCAACTTATCCCATCAGTTCACCTTAGGTGAGGTGAACTGATCACCGTCCACATTCCCATGCTATAAGATGGTCAAGTCAACTGATAGTTGACCATCTGTCCACCTGCCGCAGTCAACTCTTCCGCATCAGTTCACGTTCAAGTCACCTCAACGTGAACGGATGTTAGAGTGATCCAAATAGTGTGTAGAAGAGGAGACGCAGACAAGAGGTGACTGCATCTAACATAAGTTGCTCCTGAGTAACTTACGATACACACAACTTTGCCAAAAAATGAAGAAAAAATCGGCGCAAAACTGCACAATATCGGCGCCCGAAAAGGGAAGGATCGATGAACAGCTGATTTTGGCGACAAAAGCAAGGATAAAAGTTTTCTTCTTTTTTTTGCAGAGCAATCTTAGTTTCTTGTAAAAACTACTTTAGAAGAGAATCTACTTATTTATTACGTTTTATTTATGTTCCAAAAGTTTCAGTTTTTCATGAATTCTCCGTCAAAATATGTCAGTTTTGTTTTATCTGTCCATTTGCTAAGTGATATCCTTGTTAGCGGTCATCATCGATTTTTTTCGACAGTGGCCGCTATCAGAGATTGTCCGGCGATGCAGCAAAAGTTTTGGCGCTAGCCGGTGTCGAACCACGACCGCGCGCGTGTGATTCCAATCGCTTATCCGTTTGACCAGACCAGCTCAAGTGCTTGGTTTTTTGAGAACACATGTGGTTATCATGTCTAGGAAGCGATCCACATCCAAATCAATAGCTCACTGGATGCTGGACTGAAGCGCGATGACCTCAACTCCGGTCCGCGTCGAGAGAGATGCCCGGATGGGGGGTTTACTACGGGCCTATATGTCGCCGATAGACTCCATTCCGCGCGGACAGCTGCTACAAATATGTGGCTGCTGCAAATATCCGCGTAGGACCACCTATTTCGACACGTCTAGTCCCCTATCCTCAACTCTCGAACTCCTGATTAGCTTCTTTTGGCTAGAACTCAAGCCTGCAAGATCTTGGCGAGTGCGCCTACTGGCACGTGGGTAGTTGTAATGAAGTTCGTCCTACGCTGTCACGGTAGTTGCTTCTTCCACTCAAAAAATGTGCAGCATAAGTTCAATCTTCTATTGTGCAACAGTTTTGAGAAGTGGTCTTTATTTCTTTCCAATCGCGGCCTTACGTTTCGACGCCTTTCGTCTCTCAGAGGCCGGAAGACGGCCCTACTCGAGTAGTCTGCACCGGAAATAGGCGGTCGCGGCAGACGAGTCAAAAAATTGTGCAGCATAATAGAGCAAGCTTTGGCTACAACATACTTCAGAGTAAGTTGCAAAGTTTAGAAATATTATATTACAATTTCCTGAAGGCATGTGGACGCGCATACAGAGGATTTCACAATTGCGTGAAGAGAACGGAAAATTAACGTCTGAAAGTATCGCAACTGTTTCAACGACCATATACGAATAGATGCTTATATAGAAGACAGATAGATAACCTTAGACTCAATGACGTTTGCGCTTCTATGCTTACAAATTTGTTTCAAAGGCAGATGGCCACTGGCCCGCAAGTTACACCTGCAAACTTTTACTTGCGGTTTTCAAGAAAATAGCTCCTGGCAAACGCAAGTACTACGATGTGATAGCGTAAAGCGCTCTCTATAATATAGACATTAAATTGTTGTAGATCCCCGATATACCCAACCACGGAAAAAACTTGCACCATTTTTCTGTTTTTTTCGCTTCGCAAAAGTGCTATTTTTACAGCTCTCACAAAATATATGGCAACGTTGTGAGCTCGGATAAGTATGCAGATGATGATTGTAGCATCTTGTAAAATAGAATTAAAACCAAAATTATTACAGATTTGTAAATTACAGTACTGTAAATTAGGCTCCCAGGCTTTTGACCCGTCCTGTATCACAACGGAACGAAGCTTGGCTGATGAGAAAAGACGAGATACGCGTAAAGTATAAGCGACATAACCTTTGATTCAACTGGCTGGCTTCGGAAAGGGTTTGTGACGTAATAAAGGCCGCTGGCGCCCGGCAAGCACCTGCATCTCTCCCTCGCGGGTGCTCCCTGATCACTAGCTAGCCTTGATTAGTTCACGGAGCCCCGCCTTCCCGAAGCCAAGCCAGTTGAATCAAATAGTAACTTTTGTGCCATGGTTATACATTTATTTATTTATTTATTTATTTGTTTATTTATTTATTTATTTATTTATTTATTTATTCACGGCTACATTCGCCATTGCCTTTTATATGGAAAGGTTACTGCCAAACTCTATGTACTTGAAGTTCAAAAGAACTATTGGCTCTTTCCACGAGTTTTCAGACAACACAAATTCAAATGCAGCAGTAACATTTCACAAAAACTAAAAAAAACTTCTTAGGAAAACCAAAAAGTCGCAGTTTTGGAAACCTAAATTTCCGGCTTTTTGGTTTTCCTATAACTTTGCCAGGGCAATGAACCTGTCAAGCGATGTTTGCAATATGACCTATCTGTTTGTGTTTCAGTAAGGGAAAGTGCATTTTACATGTGTTTCTATAATATTTTTGAGCACCGAATCTAGTTAACGGATTGTACTCTCTCCTATTTGAATAAGGGCGCCTGAATGTGAATGCTTGCTGTATTATTTTGAAATCTGATTCACTGTGTGTTTCTTATTGCACGAATACGCTTTACTCCGTGTCCCAATTTTTGAAAGTAGCAAAAGCGCTTCGTGAGCTAAATCCGCCTAGAATTGTGATATCGTTTTTGTTCGTAATCAAAAATGTGAGTCCCGTGGAAAGGATACTCAACTCTCTGTTTTGCTCAGAACGTCAAAGAGCAATACGCATGCAGATCTTCTCGATTTTTGATTGAACAGTGCTTTTAGAAAGTGCTTAAATCACCAATATGAAGACTTTTTACACGTCTGTTGCTCGGAATGATTTTGATACTTGACATCTGTTCGAGAAATTGTTTGATGTAATAACAGATTCGACCAATTTTTCTTTTTGTATATCTTGTTTTCAGACTGTCATAGATTTTTCGCGGCACAGCTAATGTCTCGCCATAGGCTTCTTGCAAAGCTCAAAAAATGCTGTTCAATCTCAAAAGAGGAGTCCATAGTGGGTGGGGGACATTAGGTCGCCGAAAAAGGGCGGTCCCCACGGTCATTTGCGACAATTACGCACCCTTGTACATGCGCGGACATGCGTTCCTGCAGGGAATCCGCGCGGGACTCTTCCAAATTCGGCGACCTAATGAATGTCCTCCACCCCATGTAGGTGGGGGACATTAGGTCGCCGAAAAAGGGCGGTGCCCGCGGTCATTTGCGACAATTACGCACCCTTGTACATGCGCGGACATGCGTTCCTGCAGGGAATCCGCGCGGGACTCTTCCAAATTCGGCGACCTAATGAATGTCCTCCACCCGTCCATAGTCAACCCTGCTATCTCCTTCATAAGAGCCATCTTTGTATACTGCGTGATGGAAACTAAAAAGATGGCATCGAACGTGCAATTGCGAATATATACATAATGCTTTAGGATCAACTATGATAGCTGCCATCATGGAAGCCAACCGATACCTAAGTGTGATAAATGTAGGTGACTCTCGAGCAGTTGCATGTGACTTGAAAAATCAAATGGTATCTCTCAGCAAGGATCACAAGCCAAATGATGTAGGTTTTTGCAGTTATTCAAGATCTTTTTTGTAAGACTGATGTGTTGAGTTTGAAAACTGCTTAGTCGGTACAGTCTTAACAAGGGGAAATACGATGCAGTTCTATTGTAACTCACTTCTTCAGCGAAGGTGAACGTTTGACCTGCGTTGACATGTGCTTCCCTAGTAATTACGCAAATCCCATGGGTTTAATTATTGGTCTATTCTGGAGTAATTTCTGCATTCGGGATGGGAAATCCCTCCCTTCATGCTTGAAGTTTGAATTTTCAATAAAGGTTAACAAAGTAAGCCGAAAAAAGGAAGTAGAAACATAGTGTTATCATGGCAATAGTATAACAAGTTTTCATGTGAAAATTTTACTTTTCAATTTTGCAATTCATAGGGTTTTACTCCCATGTATACAGGTGCTGCATAATGCATGGTTTGATCTTTGATAGTTCTCCATTTCAGAGTATTTTAAGGATCGGAAATTATTATGCGCAGGTGGCTTTAACTTGAATTTACTTTGTGGCAAGATATCGATTGCTCTTTGTCACTATAGGATTATGGTGGAAATCCCTGCAGCTTTTCGCCATGATGCCCATTCAAAAAAATCAAGAACCCAGAAGTTGCGGAACGCATACAACGTCTTCAAAGTAATTTTGTATGTTACCAAAAGTTGTTTGTTTCTCAATCAGCTCAATGAGGAACATCAAACAGCTGTTACTGTACACTTACCAACTACAATACGAGGAACATCTGAAAAATTGTAATTTTCTTTTCAAAAGAATTTCATCAAAATGAGCTGCTCTAATTTACTTAGTAACGGCGTTTGCAATTTTTGATGCTTTAAAATTCCAGCCAATCGAAAGGAAACGGATTGAAAATGCAGGCGGCTATGTCTCCTTCGAAAATGGAACTTACAGGGTCCAAGGGATATTAGCAGTATCCAGGTTTGTTTTCTTTTTTTTTTAATCGCGTGATCTTAATCTTTGGCCTATCCAAACCAAAGAGGCACTGGGGCTCCAGGTAACTTGATGGAAGGCATGGAAGGGACTGAGTATCTGATATGAGCTCTATGTCCTTCAAATTTTGAAAGCGTCCTTTCTCAAGGCGTCAAGTTTTCTTCTTTGCAGTTTTTGTGAGCTTGCTTTGAGTATCATATTTACTAACTAGCTGGCAAACCCGGCTCTGCCCGGCCCTGTCAATATTATATTCGTCATCAGCATGCTCACTTACCCCTTTGTTCCTACTCCCAGCCCCGTAGCGCAAAATTTGCCAAAAATCGATAAAATCAATATCGACCGATAACGAAACGTACCTTACGACACCCGCCCCGCCCCGAAGTGTAAGTGTTCAAAGTTTGGTCTAGATCCAAAAATAAAATCTTGTATTCGCAACACACACACAACATACACAACACACACACAACACACAACACACACACAACACACATAACACACACAACACACACAACACACACACAACACACACACAACACACATAACACACACAACACACACAATACACACAACACACACAACTTCTATTTTCTATGATCATGCTACGGAATTCTTGCAAACTTCATTTTTTTGCTACCGTGCTTACAAAGGAAGGATTCCTAGAGACCGAATCTTTTTGGATCGTGTTGAACATTAAATGCTCACCTCAAATGCTACCACAGAAGTTTTTGCGGTACGATCCCTAGGAATGAAATAGCAAAATCAAAACCACATCAATGGAGATCAAACTGATATCATCAGCGTAGTAGTTCATTATCTAATTACTACACCAAACTTGTCGGCATTTCTCATGACATTTTTACAAACGTCTACTAAAAAGAACGCCGCTTTTAACATATGTCCTATAGTATCGTTCCGTAAATAGCGAATATAGCTTCAAGATCGGCTTTTCAAGACGAATGTCACTCTGTTTCTTTTCAGATTAAAAATCCTCGGTCCTCAATATGCTTTTCTCATTGCATAGCGGGATTATCTCATTTACTCTTCTAACAGCTTTTTTCTTCTCCTTTTTTTGGTGCCATTATACCTTTAGTTCCGACGATGCAGAAAATAAGCTAGCAACCATACGTCTGGCCCTTTTTTGAAGCGGAATGGTTTTCCAAGACCCAGCTGAACTTTCTTCTTCCATTCGCAGTAAATTACGCACATTAGCTTAAAGGCAGTGTCTCACCAAAATTTAGTTGCCGAGATTTTTGCATTTTGCAAGCCTGTCGGACCCTGTCTAGCACTGTATGGGCTTAGAATCGCACGAAGTTCCCAAAAACCCCGTTTCCTGGAGGCCCCGCGGAAGCAACGTGGACGAGTTGCACCTTCCAACTTCAGCCTCAGCCACAGCGGCAGCAGCAGAGGGGAGGTGGATGCCAAGTGGAGGAACATGTTCAAACGCGTAAGGGAAGAGACCGAAGGATTCGTCCGCGCGTACCAACTCGCTCTCCGCGTACCACTTTGAGCGAATTTTTCTCAGCGTGGAGGGGGTTGAATTGAGTGGGGCTTGTTGCAATGGCCTATTTAGAGGTTCCTATAATGGAATATGTGAAAATCCGAGCGACCTCAACTTTGGTGTGACACTGCCTTTAATGTGATTTATGGTTCTCACAAGGCAAGGTGTTGTTTGCGTTTGTTTTATTTTTCTCCACTAGCATCGATGAGCATGATGGAATGTGTGCGATATCTATGCTGTAAAGCGTCGTACAATGTGCGAGGCTCTCGTAGCAAAGCAAATCTTAGGGATAATCATGATTTAGTAGTTGACAAGTTCGTATAGAGTGCGTATAGATCTCATCGCCTTTTACCAATAGCATTCTTATTTGATTTGACCAAACAATAGCTTACTGTGAAGCTCATTTGGAATCATAGCTAAAACTGTACTTGGGTTCAAATCGAATAAAAATTCGAGCATCTGAATAAAACATTCGAATATACTCGCTTTCAAAATTCAATATACGGAGTTGTTCCACATTTTCGAACAAAATTCGAAACTCGGATGATCAAAAAACGAGGTTTCGAACAGATTTTATTCGAATGTTTTATTCGAATATTGCATTCGAATTCGTATTCGGATGTTATTCTTGTATATATCAAGCTCTTCCAGACCATGTGAAGAAGAGTTTTTTTTTTTTGGGGGGGGGGGGAGGGAGGGGCCACTACTTTTATCGATTTTATGGATTTGAAAAACTTTGAGTCACGAGGCTGGGAGTTGGTACAGTGAGGTAAATGAGGACGCTGACTACGAATAACAATCTATTTCATCGATTTTACCGATTTTTAGGAAATTGGGCTCTGAATGGGAGTTGGGGTATGAGGGTGCATTATGAATCAATCGGCTTCAGCGGGGTATGTATGTTAGCAAACTTTAGATATGGTTGCCTTGGATATTCGATAAATCATTCGAAATCCAATAGAAATTCGATTCCCAGGGTTCGAATATAATTAATATTCATTCATTCGATATTTTTGATTTTCCGATTTCATTCGGGTTCATTCATTTGACAAATTTTCAGTTTCGATTTTATTCGGTATTCATTCATTCAATGAAAAATTTCGAATTTCCCCAAATATAGCTAAAACCCATGCTAAGGTTGCGCTCAGAGCTGCCCGTGTGCCAGCACCGAGCCGGCGTCATGCCAGCGCCGTTCAGCACTCATTTTAACGCACCCTAGTCGATCAAAGCCCCGGCACGGCGCTAGTACGACGCTGGCACGGGCAACTTCGGACGCAGTCGAACAATGCCATTGGTTCATACAAAGACGCCTTTGCACAGATATCTGTATAAAACAGACGTAAATTCATGGTCAAGACTTTTTGCCTTCATATAGTTGGTTTATTTCGTTTCTACCAAACTCAGTTATTCAGCATTGATTAACGTCTGTATTTGGTGAAAGCAGTTTCAACAAAGATAAGCTGCACGAGATTTTTCCAGGTCGTTCGGTGATACGATGCTGAAGCGGCTCGGTGTTCTCACAGTAAATCCAGATGTTCTTCGCATAGATCTCGGTACAGATCCACTCAAGTGAGAAAATTCATATGATTTGCTGCTCCATCCATTTTTACTCCTCCACTATCTTCCATTATAAGTGTTAAAACGTGGCTAAGTACACACTAACCGGATAACAGTGAACATAGTTTTCTTAAGGCTCTGACCTTGATTTCTTGTTAAAGAAGAATAAGGTTTGTTTGAGCATAAGATGGCACCGAAGCAACTCTTTTCGTATTTTCCTTGAAAGATCATCAAAATATATCTTTTCTATATTTCTACATGTCTTTGGTGAGAAATGTAATGCGAATTTTACCACCTTCAGGATGCGGTTTCCTTGTAAAGCATTTAGCAGTGGCTGATACTTCGATTTTACCAATCTTATATATAAAGCTGAATGTGTGTTTGTCTGTCTGTCTGTCTGTATGTATGTCTGTCTGTATGTCTGTACGTATGTTCCGAATAGAAAATTCCATTTCTGAACCGATCCGGACCAAACTCGGCACACATACACTTCGGGCCCCGCCGGGTGTCATAGGCTACTTTTCGTCATCAATCGATATCAATTTTTTGCAAAATTTGAGCTACGGGGCTGGGAGTTGGTACAGGGGGTAATCGAGCATGCTGATTACGAATAAAATAATGACAGGGCCGGGCGGAGCCGGGTAAGCCATCTAGTCACCCATAATTCAATTCAATTCAGATTCCTAATCGTGGGAACTGATGGATTTTGGGACGTGGTGTCCAGTCAAGAGGCGGTGAAGCTGGCCAACGACTACTTGACGTAAGTATCAAAGGCAGATCTTGTCTTCGCTTTTTTAGGTGACTAATTCTTCATTTCACCACATGCAATAATTTCAGGTCGCACGACAAACGAGACTGGCATCGAATTTCTACATTTCTTGTACAAATCGCTTTACGTCGTCATACTCTCGACAACATTTCCGTTCTTTTCATCAAACTTCTCTGATCTCATAATGCACTTATTGCTCAAAACAGCCTCCATAAACGAGTCGCTATGAATCTCTCAAATACTTTCTAATGAAATAAAGTTCGCTTAAGACAACAGACCGATAGAGCACTTGAAAAACACAAACATGTGGGCCACTGTGTAGACCAAGATGCACCTTGCGTTGCCGTGCAGTCCATTCGCAGATGTTCGAGACTGTACGAACAGGGTCGACCAAGAGGTGTGACACGCGACAGCAGCATAGAACCCTCCTCCCCGCTGAGTGTCTCACCCCCCCCCCCCCCTATCGTCTAGCTATCGTTAGGCATAACATGAGGCCGTATCAAGCATAGTGCATAACTTATTCGTAGCTAGCATGCCAAGTAACCCCTGTGAACACTTTTTAACGGGTTATAAGGTTTCCAAATGTTGAGCCACCCAAGCGAAATGGTCATTTTCAAACAAGCTCAACTTTGTTTCAAAGATGACCCATTTTTTTCCGCGCTCAGTATAAAATACTACATCATTGTTGCCCATGTAAGAAATCTCACCTCAAACAACCGCCACACTATGGGATCAGGAACCAGTCAAAACTTCATGTGTTCCATTTTTCGCTTCAAATGGTTGTGGTTCCAGCCACTAATCAATCACTCCAACAGATGCTTTTCAATATTAGTAGTTGCAAGAAAGAGGCAGAGACTATAACTAAGCTAATGCTAACCTCAATACCCAGCAATAGAGACTGCGAGCACGACCATCTATATAGATAGCCGTTACTGTGTACTGCTATACCCCCATTTATACAACACAAATGACTGGGCTGACCCAGACCCATAGGTCAAAAGCCACGAAGACTAATTACGGTGCTAATTCGGTCGTTACGACAATGCACTCCTCTTTGCGATTTATTATGGAGTTTTTAATGCTATCCAGAATGCCTCCAACGTCTCATGCTGCTGTATCAGGTTCCTGCGATAAGAGGTGACGGCTACGTCATAGTAGTGATCGTTATGCCACTGCGGTGGGCGAGAGGAGTGAATAATATAGATTTTCCGAGACTGTCTGGATGCTCCTTGACCCGTACGCACAAAAGACTGCCGGTTTTTCCTACGTACTGATCTCCACATTTCTAGCACGTGATTAGATATCCTAGCCAGATCCCACGCACTCTCCCTGTCTTCCAAATGGGTAAAGGACGCAATTAGGACTTGTGCATAACCGGTCGTAAGCGCGATTGCGTATAAGCTGTTTTCTAAGGTTAGGGGTAAGATGTATACGCCTCTTACGTCGTTTTCCGCGTGCTGCAAACATCTCCTGATTGCTTTGCAAATTTGTCACAAATGAAAGGAACGCATAATGGAATTTTTGTGGGCTGCTCAATTGTGCGCGATCTACGACCTGGCAGATGATTGAATTTTGACTGATCGCCGGTTATGGGGTAACCATTGGACTGCGCGATCTATGTTGCCAGACTCACTGATCATTGTAGGCTGTCCGCCGCAATGCTATAACCATTGTGTCCTGCAACGATTCGGCGTCATCAGCCTTGCTGCACTCGTCCAATTCCAAAGGAAAGGACATTGAAAAACGCTCATTTTCGGCGTTTTCAAGCTCTCAAAAGTGGATTTTCGGAATCAGCGTATTGAATAACCCCAGTAAGCGAAAATTTGACTAGGTTGAGATTTGCCGAGCCACTGCCTTTAATACTCTGAAGATATGGGCAGAGATATAATGGACTAGGATATTTTCGTAGGCTTACGGAGGTCGGCTTACGGAACCATTTCGCCTTGTATAACTTTTTTGATAAGTATACCTGCACACTGAGGAAAGCAAACCAATCGCTGGCTTCTAGCGGGTGAATTTAATGTTGGGAGGCTGGGTTTTTAAGAGGCTGAAGCAGATGTCCATCTCACTCTGTCATCGGGCTTTCAATTTTGGACATAAGGGCGATAGCAACGGTGAAAGCCAAGCTTGCTCCACGGTAGCCCTCTAACTTGTCGGTAAAATCGCCCAACAAAAGCAGCAGTTTAAGCACTCACTCAAAAGGATCATTATTTGCCGAATAGTGAGGCCGTACATGTGGAGAGAGTCCTGATGTTCCGTGAGAAGCTCAAATAGGGCTTGCAGACTTGAAACATTAGTACAGTGGAGTAATATCAAACGATTCAGTCACACAATGACTAGTGAACTGCGTCTTCCTAAGATGTTCAAGGAACATTTTGATGTTTGATAGATGTGCAGGTATAAACCCACGCAACTGGTTGAGAACTAGATTATGCAGCCAACATATTCTATCGCTGGGACCCAACTGCTTTATTATGGGCCTGACCTTGAAATCTGAGGGTTGTTGGAGAGCAGAGATGAAACAGTGAGTTTGTGCGTTTTGACTAGCAAATAAAAAACTGGGCATTTGGAAAGTTCAAATGCTTCCACTAGAGAATTAAATTCGTTGTGGTAGAAGATGACGCTTCTTGTACATGAAAAAGGCTAAAATGTTGGAGGTAATGTGTAGGAAAAGCGCAACTATCTGCGCTATTAATCCATCTTCCTCGCCCTCCTCGCCCCGCCTCAAAGCTCGCCTCGGGGCTATATAAAGCAATATGCCCCGCCCACGAGAGGTTCGGACTTGAGGCAGCTTCGCAGCTGCCTCTTCAATAAGATCGTCTCCGAATCTCCGCCCCCTCCCCCTCTTTTTAATCACCCGCCCTCCATATTTATTTAATCTCTAATCATATGTTTATCCTATAATTCTTCTTCGTATAATTGCTTCGTATTTATTCACGTCCATTATATTGTTATACCTATGTAAGGTTGAGCCGGAGCACTAGCTCCTGCTTGGCTACCCTCTATCTCAAACCTATCTATCTTCCACTTATCTATCCGCTATCTAATTTCTTCTCTAATTATTCTTATACTTTTATCCCGCCCTGTTTTGCCGTCTACCGCTACACCCTTCATATTCTATACTTTGTTTATATTTGCCTGATAAATGCTTAGTAAGGAAGCTAGTTGAGTTTCATGTATGCCGGTTGAAAGAATAGGAAGTAAACGTTACTGAAAGTCCAGCTACGGTACCACTCTTAGCTTAACGACAACCATAAAACATAAATTCGTTACATGGAGGTTCCGGCGAGATTCGAACTCGCGTTACTGGATTCAAAGTCCAGGGTGTTAACCGCTACACTACGGAACCACTCTTAGCTTAACGACAACCATAAAACATAAATTCGTTACAAATGAAGGGCGCACAAACACGGGGACTCGCGCCGTGCGGGCGGCCAGCGACGACCTTACAAACGCTCGTTGGTGTGTGCGATTGTACGGCTGTCAAGGGCCGGTGTACGGTTAACGTGGGGCGCCCACGCGGCTTCTAATACTCGCCGCTTGCGCGAGAAGGTCGGCCGCTCCCTTGCTGCTGGGGTGATTTTGTATTAGATACCCTGATCATTTTTCTTGGATATGTTAGTCCTGTTCACGTTTTGCGAACGTGGATCGATGCCTGCAGTGGCCAGACCATTCATAAGGAACATATGGAAGCCCACACTACCACTCTTGATAACTGTAACTTCTCACAGGTTCATTTCAGCCTTGCTGTCGAAGGAAAATGTTGATGATACGACATGTCAACGCTTAGGGCAGCCTAAACGGTACGTCGTATCTCACCCAGGTGCCGTTACCGCTCACAATGTGTGAAAATGAGAAGAAGAAGATAGAGGTCACTTTTGGCCGCTTGCACGACAACGGGTATTGCCGGCCGATAAGATGGACACATTTCTGGCCGCTTGCTCGAGCAAATGTATTGCCGCCCGTTTGCACGGTAACATTGCCTGCCGCTTGGACGGCGCTTCAGCTGTTTACCGCACGCACGGAAGCTTCAGGCTTATGCCGACCGCTTGTACACTAGCCCTTACAGGAGGACCGCTCGCACGGCGCGGATCTCTGAGAAGATAGTTCAACATGTTGACTGCGCTTTTTCGCATAGCAGGGCCCCGCATGATCTTACGCGAGGTGTACGATAAGATATCAAAATTTTCGAATTTGCTGGAACTTTGCATGATGTAGTATTTGGCATGGTGCTGTTCACTACATACACCCTGTTTCTCCATTACGAGTATTTACTTTTTAAGCTGCTTTGGTGAGGACGCAAAGCGATTAACATTCTAATGCTCATTCCCTTACTTTCAGCAATTCTTTTCCTGAACCCTTTAGAATCCCTCATCCTTTTAGCCAAATTTGCTCCCTCACCTAGAATTACGACCTCCCCCATCCGCCCACTCCCAGTACGACCCCTCAGGTAAAGCGCGCCTGACCCCGCGCTTGACCCTGCATAACTCTTTCTGGGAATACTTCAGCAGACAATAGACAGTAGAAAAAGCGTGAATATCTGCGCGAATGGTCTGTTTTCCCTTGCCCCGCCACAGTTACTATATGAAGTCGGCCCGCAAACGAGAAGTTCGGCCTGAGGTTTCACAAAATTGTCTCCGAATCTCCGTTCTCCCCATATTCTAGTCACCCCGCTCTTTTACACAAGCTGATACCATTTTATTTGTTCTCAATCTAACGCCTTTGTATGATTACTGCGCATTAATCTATGCTTACGAAGTGATGAATAGCTACGGAACTCAATAAGTGGCAGAGGCATGATTTCTGTATCGCATAGTTTTTGTCCAGAAGTATTTATGTTCGAGGTACCTCATCCCTTTAAAGGCAGCGTCCCACCAGACTGGGGGTACCTGGCTCTCGTAATGATGTAATAGTAGACCCCCTTTTTCGCTCCGAACTTCAGTCATCGCTTATTTAGGGGGTCTACTATCACATCATTACGAGAGCCAGATACGCCCAGACTGGTGGGACGCTGCCTTTAAGAACAGTCGGTACCCTACTTGTTATGACGATTGTCACAAGTTTTCTCCAAATCATGGTGATGAGGTTTTTATGGACTTTTATGGATGTATTCTGGGTACTTCAAAAGAAAAACTCTTGCATTGGTTTTGACTGACCATGGGAATGAAGGCCATTGTTTGTGAAATGATACTATTAGAATGTGAATTTGAAGGAAAGGGACACAACAAAAATTTACTACGCTGCGATAGGTATGGTA